CAGTGCTGGGAGCAGCAACAATCCTAGGAGTTGGCTGAAGTGCAAACCAACTTTGCCTCTTCTGTGCCTTCCCCATACAGGTGAGTGAAACTGATTCTGGGCTCCTTGCACATCCAATTTTCTCCAGTTAAAGAGGTGATTCCACTGTCCATCAATTCAGATTAGTCTAACAGATCTACATGATGTTATTTCAGACTCGAATCAATCCTTTCTACTTCATGATTATTTTCCTTCACTTGGGAACTAGTTGTGGGTGGGGGGGTTTAACATGGTTTGCTTTGGGTTTTTGCAGCTGCTTCATTCCAGATGTGTCAGCCTTGTCTGTTTCTTTGTCCTGCACAATTTGAACTCCATTGCCATTGGCTGCAATGTCATATGTGGGAGTGCCTTACCTCTACCTTCCCCCTGTGGTACGGGAAAGACAAGGGCTGGAGATCAGGTTGAGAATGGGGAAGGCATGAGATGTAAACAGGGAGAGGAGGGAAATTCAAAGAAGAGGAATCTGGATTGCATTCAAGGAAAAAAATAAAACAGGTGTGAAAGCTTGAAATGAGTGGTTCCAGATCCATGGGGGAGAGGGCTATTATTCCAACACACTCCAATTCAAGCCACACATCTCATGTTGGATGAACTCACCAATGTGATCTTGGGAAGTGCTCTTTGAAGCTACAGCTTCATCCTAAGCCTCCTTTCTCCCTGCTTCCTTTTCCTTAGTGAGACTTCCTTGTTCTCCCACCCCCTCTTCCTTCTGAGTGGGTGGGGCTTCTGGGAGGGACATTACCTGGATAGGTTAACCTTGTGGGCCAAATTCAAGGTTTCTCCACCCTTGTGATATGGAGGAAGCAGGCAGACTGGAAAATATGAACATTAAAGGCATTCACTTCAATGAAGAACTGGAGTGACACTCAAAATACTTGTCTCTTTTAGTGAGACCCTGGGCAAGTGCCTTTGGATAGGGAGCTATCCACCCATCCCTCTAGGTACTTTGAATATGGTGCTCTGCTTTCTCTCCCCAGTGCTCTGCTGTCCTCTCCCCACATTTCTCATACCCTGGTCACTCCACTCCCCTACCCTTTCACCTCCTCTCCTTACCAGCCCATTAGAGGAAGTGGTTATTTTCTCATGTAGTTATGTATTCTGCATAAAATTTTCACCAGGTTGTCTTGTCTAGAGTCTAGTGGAGTGCCTGCAATGAAGAATCCAGATGTGCCCTCCATCTCCATTTATCCAGCTGTTCCTGGAGAAATCTGGTCTGGCCATAGTGGCACAAACCTTATTTACATCCCAGCTGGGTAACTGTAACATGCTGTCATGGAGCTGCCTTTGGAAAGTATTAAGAAACTTCAATGTATCCAAACAACTGAACAAGGATTGCATAACCCCAGTTATAGCAGCTCCATTGGCTGCCAATCCATTTCTGGGTACAGTTCAAAGCTCTAGTTTTAACCTATAAAGCCCAAACAGTTTGGGTGCAAGCTATTTAAAAGAAAACTTCAATGTATCCAAACAACTGAACAGGGATTGCATAACCCCAGTTATAGCAGGTCCATTGGCTGCCAATCCATTTCTGGGTACAGTTCAAAGCTCTAGTTTTAACCTATAAAGCCCAAACAGTTTGGGTGCAAGCTATTTAAAAGATTGTATCTGCCATTATGAGCCTGCCCATGTGTTTTGATCATCATGTTGCTTTTTATTGTTTAAAAATCCATCCCTGGTCTGTGTGACTTCTTAAAGGGAATGGTTGGTGGCAGCTTAGTGTAACTGTGTGACATATCCCAGTAGGTCTGGGTTTGTCACAGCCCCATCTTTGCCGTCCTTCCACAAGAAGGTGAAAACATTTTTCTTCAGGCAGGTTTTCCTTTAGTGACTGGCTGTCTAAGAGGTGTTTGAAAATCAGGATGATTAGTATTTTGTTGCTTTAATCTGTTTTAATAATGCTTTTCTTTAACATTTTATACAATGTGTTTTAATAATGCTTTTCTTTAACATTTTTATGAAATGTTTATTTAATTCTGTTTTAATGTGTGAATAATTTGTTTTTAGCTATCTTTTTTGATAATGTAAGTTGCCTTGGGTCTTTTTATGGAGAAAGGTGAGGTGAAAATATTTTAAATATATAAATTGCTAACCCAAAACCACTTTGGTGCAATAAAGATGTAAAAAAGGACAAAAGGAGGTTGCATGATGACAGGCCTTATGCCAGTACTGGTGCTGGACCTGTTTCCTGACCTCACCATCTCAGTCCTCTGCTGCTTCTCTCTTTTCCAGTGCTAGTTTAAGGAGTGTGAGCCCTACTCCAGGTTTGTGCCCCAAAGTCCAGCCCTAAAGGAGACACTGAGCCATACAAGGTAGCAAGTGTACAGTTGACACACCTTCCCAGGAACCCCACATGGCTCTCAAATGGCAGGTGCCCCTCTCAACCTCCTGCCCCACCTTGAACTCCAAATGTAGGCAAAAGTAGCCTCCCTATCACTACTTGCTTTCTGTTGAGTGAAAATGTTTCTGCCCCACGGAATACTTGAAAACTATAACGTGAAGACTAATAATTGTCAGCATTTGCCTGATTGGATTTACGATGTGCCTCTCTCTTTGTAGTTAAAGAGCAGGTTTAGAAGTTCACAGCTACCTGTCCAGAAATTCGGGGACCGGTTCGGCAAGAAAATCTTGATGGATACATTTTACCCAATATGTAGTCCACCTCCAGCAGGGACATCTTGCTCCTGGAATTTTTTTTGTATCAGACAGGAAGAGAAAGCCCACAGGAGCACAGCATTCCCCCTTTTATTCAAAAAGCCCTTGGGCTGTGAGTATAAACAGGCTTTCAATCCACAGCCATTCCCAGATCTGCACAGAGATAACTTCACCCATAGTGAAAGTTAAGCATTCAAGGTCCATCGTTCTGCAATAAAGTTGCTCAGCGGGGATTGCAGGAGAAGATTCCATTTCCTCTTCACTGAAAACTACAAGATGAAGTAGTTTAATATTGCTCACATTTGAGACTGTGATTGCAACAAGTAACGGCACTTCAAAAGAGTGCTTATGGAAAACTTTGGCTGAGCTGCAGCTCGGGGGCTCTCTCGCCATAACCCCAAAGCAAACATTGCCTCAGCAGCCAGGTCTGCCATCTCATGATCCAGCTTTTCCATCATCATCATCATCATCATCATCATCATCATCATCATCATCATCATCATCATCATCATCATCATCATCATCATCATCATAAATAATCAGGCTTTCATTTTGGACTAGTAAAGAACATTTTTATTGGTAGAAACCAAACACTGTGTAATAAACTTGTACTTGTTGAAAAGAATTGTTCATGCACTGCATGTATTGTTCAAAAGGCAGTAAGCTATAATTCAAACAAAAATACTAGCCATTTTCTTTCTGTGATCCAGCAGACTTGTCAAGACAGTCTCCATGCATGCAGGCCAAACCGTATCTTGTAAGAAAGATTATTCCCACCTGTGCATTATCTTAAATCGGCCTGTCAGTTTGAAGTGTTCAACAAAGAATCTGCTGCTCAAGAAGGCCAATTGTGGGAAAGATGAGTGTGGAGTCACAAACATCTATATGTGAAGTAGTTACTACAAGCACACACTGTTGAATGCACAGAAAATACCTTGAGCTGTAGACCAATGGCTGTCTTAACGTCATAGCCTCCCAGACATTCTACCGTTGAGTTCCTGTACCGAGGAAACTCTGGGAACAAGCTGGGAGCCCAAAGAGTCCCTTTCTCCCCTCATCCCCACCCCATCCCACAGGCTAAAGTTGTGCATGTATCCAATAACTTATCATACAATCTGTCAAAAGCTGATGGGTAGAAACTTCTTCAGTCACCTTTGCTCCCTCTCCAACAGGACAATAAAGTAACAACGCTGGTGGAAAGTACAAGCAAGGCCCCCTGACTTTCCACTGTGCACACAGGAAGACTGAAGGTGTTTCTCCACTACAGAGTTGGTAAATTTGATACCACTTTAGTTGTTGGGCCTTCATTCTATAGAATCTTGGGATTTGTAGTTTGGTGAGAAACTAAAAAATGTTGAAAGCTCTAGTGCTGTGGTTCAGCACACTGCAGTCATTCGAGCCCTCTATCCCACAATCCTAAGTGCCTCACAAAATGACAGTGGTTTAAATTCTTATAACTATCGTATTTTTCTGTGTATAAGACACACCCAAATTTCTTTCTTTGCAAGAAAGTGGAGGTGAAAAGTGATTCCTCCTTTCCCCCTCCACTTTCTTTGCAAAAAGTTGCTTTCCCCCTCCACATTTTGCAATGAAAATGTAGGGGGAAATCAGGACACTTTCCCCCTCCATATTTTTGCAAAACGTGGAGAGGGAAAGCAGCTTTTTGCAACAAAAATGTAGGGGGAAAGCAGGAATTATTTCCCCCTCCATTTTCTTTACAAAACACGGAGGGGAAAAGCAGATCATGTACTTCCATGTATAAAACGACCCTCAATTTTTCCTTTGTTTTAGGGGAAAGGGTCGTTTTACTTCCATGTATAAAACGACCCTCAGTTTTTCCTTTGTTTTAGGAAAAAGGGTCGTTTTATACACGGAAAAATACACTATGTAATGTAAACGCACTCTCGGGTTACTGCTTATTTCAGTCATCCCTCACTTATCATGCCCTGTTGGCTATTGAGCAGTCTGCAACACCATTGCTCTGGGCAAAAGGTAGCACCATTCAAGTCTTAGCTTACGGTGGCTAAAATCCAGGAGTAAGTTACAACTAGAAGTAGGCACATTGAATCAGTGAGGATTTGCTGAGTCCATAAGTGCTACTGATTCAATTCTTCCACTCTAGTTTATTTATTTATTTATTTATTTATTTAACTTATATGCTGCCCACACTACCCAAAGGTCTCTGGGCGGCTTTCAACAATTAAAATACAGTAAAAAAGATTAAACAATTAAAATACAATTAAAATATACAATTAAAATAACAATTAAAATACAGTAAAAAAAGATTAAACAATTAAAAGACAATTAAAATATACAAATAAAATAAGTTGTAACTTATTACTGGATATAAGCCTTTGTGTACTACTAACAGGAACATCTAGCACTTAATAAGCCCTACTCGTCCCTACTCCCTATACTCAACCCAGTTGCAAGTGATAATCCTGAGACATGTGCAAAAGACAACTGCAGTGTAAGCCCCAAATAGCAGAGATCACAGCCCACAGACAAAGAGAATGAAGGGCAATATGCAACAGATCTACAGGAGGGAAACAGCAACTGTCACATTGTCTGCAGTAGTACAGAAGACAGTAGTAGTGAGGAATGATGGTCTGGAATGGGAAAGGCGGATGCAAAGCTTCTGATAGCTGAGGCCAAGGCTCCCAGCGGTCTAGTCCTGCCCCTTTCAGATAACAGTGATTTTGGTCTTCCCTTCAAAGTGAGCCTTTCCCCGCTTTTCTGTTATTTTAGCCATGCATTTTCTATAAGTGACGGCTTTGTGTTCAAGATCTCTTTTCCCTTTCAAATTAGCTATGGTTGGGAAAGCAAAGGAGAGGATGCTTGGCCTATTTAGCCATATTAAAAATCTGTAACGCCACCTCCCACAGAAACTGTACTGAGATCCACCCACATAAGGTTGCCAACAAAAGGGAGATAACCCAGCTTTGCTGTGGTAGTTTTCAGAGAGCAAAAGTGTCCATTCTAGTTAGGTCTTTCATGGTGCTCCTTTAAGGGGCAGCAAAACTGGATTTTAAAATCATTCAGGGCTCTGTGCAAACCTGGCTTCCATGAGAGCTCTGGAAAAAGCACAGAATGCACTGCTGGCTGCAGAACTGGGTCTCCTAAAAAAAAAATCTCTGTATTTACCGTTGTTTCTATCTTTTTATTTAAAACAAAATCAGCCAATGATGGCTACAAAAATTTGGAAGTATGAGGACAGTTTCATGCAGGAACATAGTACTTGTGTGGTAATGGATACAGAATGTGGCTTCCTGAGATGCACGATTTTTAAAACAAGTTGCTACAGCTTGTGACTATGAAGACAGAAATGCTTCTTGAAATTTTCAGAAGCTGGGATAAGTTCCCCAGTGTTTGGGTGGAAGGCAGAGGTCTGCCCCCTGTATTGCAAAGTAAATTGTGCAAGAAGAGAACAAGTGCAGAAATGTGCATCATTTATGCAGATCACATTTTTCTTTGTGCAAGATAAAGATCTGTTCATGGTTAGAATTTTTTTTTTTATGGCTCAGTGTATACATGCTGCCCTAACCTGCCAGACCACAGTTGTTGTTTTTCTCGGCTGATGGGGTTTTGACTCACAGGATAATACAGCCCCCTTCTAGAGAAAGATATCCCTACATGCCTCCAATGGGCTGCCTCTGTAAGATCTCTGCCAGTCCAGCCTGTGCCTCTTTCGCCCACTTCAAAGAACCCGATTGAAAGGAGGATGGAGGGAGAGGGTGAGCAAGAAAACATTGTTAACACTCTTTCTTTCCAAAAGGTCAATCACCAAACCCCATTCTTAACAACACAAAACGACAACAAAACCTTTTAGATTAGAAGGTGCTCATTTCCAATCACAATGTTAAGGTCAATTGAATAAACTTCCTATTCACGCATTACATTGTGCTTTGCACCCAAATGTGTGTGATCAAAAAATAAACCACCAGGTAATATTTTTCTCTTCAGGTGAAAGACAAAATAAATGGATTGGTTTTTGCATGCTAGGAATTACCGTCATCCGCGCATAAGAAGTTATTCACAAATTCTAAAGAAGCAAAACCTGCTTCTTATGGGAGTATAATAAATCCCTGTGGGCTTAGCTCAAGTATTTTCTAAGCTTTCTGTGATTTTCCACACTGTAGCCATTCTGGTATGCTAATAAGATGAGAAACACATGGAGGTGCACTTGATACTTTCATACAGGCCAAGAAGGAAATAAAACTACACCATTTACAAAATGGAGCTCTTGCTAAGAGACTTACAGAGGTGCCCAGGACGTGGTTGTTTTGACTTCCAAACACACAGCCTCTAACCCCAATAGCACCCAGGCTTACTTTTTTCCATAATGCAAGACAGTGTGGTCATTTGACATTGAGTGGCCAGCCACGTGGTATTTCCACTCAAAACAACTACCCGTCCTTTCAGATAAAACAGGAAGAATTTCATCTGCATTATTTTGGTTTGCTTTTCATTCCTTCTCTCATTCCAATAACTACCAACCAGTTGCAGGCTGCTGGGAGTTACCTCCAGTTTTGCTACAAATCCCTGTTGGTGTCTTAATGGCATAATTCTTCTCCATTCACTGAGTTTTCAGAAAAGGCAAATGACAGTGAAGACTTCTTGGCAGCTTGTGCTAGGCAGAACAGTGCAGGTGCCTTAGGGCCAGAAATCTCACTATAGCCTCATCAGCACCATGGCCAGCACCCAGGCATCTCCTGCTTCCCCTACTCACATGGATAAGGGATTATTTCAGGTTATTGTTAATAACCATGTTGTCATGTATATCACAATAGGTGGTCATTTTCTTCCTCTTCCCAAAAGTAGAGAAGCTGTTCTTTGCCTCTTGATCCAGGAAGAGGGACCCATCCTTATTAGCAGGCATAGTTGGGGTCCCTGGGATATATACATTGTGTTGGTAATCCAGAGGTGACATGTGTTGTGGGTAGAGGGGAGGATACCGAGGGGTCCAGACGCTGTTGGAGACCCCAGATGATTTCTGGAGCTCTGTAAAAAAAACACAAAATGGTATCAAATGACAGAAGGAAAGCCTTGGTGGTAACAAAGGCTTGTACCATGTTATGGTACACAATGGCTTGACAAATGGTGCATCCTATTCCCTAGGGCATAGTTGGGTTGTGTAAAAAAACACCCAAATGAGAGAAATAAACCTCTGGGGATGAGAAACATTTATTCTATCACATTTATATGCCATATTTCCACCAAGGAACTCAGTTTAGCATACAGATTCCTCCCACCCCCACTGTCATTTCATCTTCACCAAAAAATGTTACAAAGTGGATTAGGCGGAGTAACTGGGTGATAATGACCCAGCATGCTTCATGGTTGGATGGGGACTGAACTATCTCCCCAGTTAGACCTAGTCCAATATTCTAGTGAGTATGCCCCACATAGTTTCCATAGGATTTCTATGGCCAGCTCTGCTACAGAGTTGTCCTTGCTTTTATGAGCCCAATCCTGTCTCTGTACATAAACCTACTACAGTTGTCTTCCACCAATACAGATACAGCAAGAATGGCACACCAAAGAGAGGTATGTTTGATTGGCATTTATCATCAGCTCAGCTGTTATAGGACTTGATACATCTGAGCTCACTCACCAGAGACTGGAGTGACCAAAGTGCGCAGTCTATCGTGTTCTTTCTGGGCCCCTCGACGAACTCCCCCTACATCTTCTAGACTTTGTGAACTAAAAAAGGGGGAGACAAAAAAAAGATATCCTGGATTAGGGTGAATATTCCTAAAAAGTTCAGCAACAATAGTTCTAAACTTAAATTATCCCAAATGGCCCAGTACCTCTTTAATGTTGATTGCTTAGACGGTAACCAATCTGTATTGGCTTGTTTTGCCTGTAAATGAGAGAAAATAGAAATGTTGATATAATATTCATCCTCAGTGAACTGGATTGCAGGTCAATGCTAGTTCAAACAGCTTTTGAGTTTTGCTACCAGCTGTTTGCAGTTACAGCTACAACAGGTGGTAACAATGCAGCAGGAGGAGTATATAGCCCTTCTGAGGCCTCTCCTATACTGCTTCCAGGAAATAGTTGAACTACTTTTAGCACTACAAAGCCAGTCACTTTAATAGTGAAACTATTTACCACTGCTGTTGCTGCTGTGACCTACTCTGAGCCCCACCATCCCCTCCAAATCATTGAAAATGTTCAGGCTTGTGGAAACAAGAGAGGAATAGCACGCAGTACAGAGCAGAGCATGGACTTTACTATATATCCACTGTTGCAGATGACAATAAGCACCAGCATTAATGACAGTAGTGGTGGTGGTTGAGGGGGGGCGCAGAGATGGAGACAGGTCTATTAAACAAGCAGGATTAAGATGATCTGTTTTGGCAGCTTAGAAAAATCTTAGTGGATAAGCAGTGACATGTAAGATTGGGTGAGAAGGTAGCTGACAAAGAGGGAGCCACAGTCAGGAAGCAACAACCAAAAAAGTGCAATGGTTTATATTGGCAGAAAAATCTGGGGAGCTGGAAAAGGTAACACAATATGGTGGAAAATACTGGAAGCATAAGGTTTACATGTGAAAATTTTGAACATTAATGGTGAAGAAGTTGATGCAGGAAAGTCTATGCTTAGGAAGGCATTTGGGCAAGCATCATGACAGAATGGTGTCACACGAATATGTACATTACATTTCTATCCTTTCTTGGCATGTAGAACAGCATACATGATCCTCACAACAACTTTGCCAGGTAGGTTGTCTTAAGAGAGAGCAGCTGGCCAAAGGTCACCCAATGAGCTTTAAGGCTGAGTGGTGACTTGAAACCATATCTCTCCAGTTTTGGTCTAACCACTAAATCATACTGACTTTTTGCCACACTGGCATATAAGGAAAAGAGAAGGACAGTGTGGGACGCTGAAGATAACAAATGGAGGAGGCCCCACATTGGGTGCCATTGTGAATGGACTCTGTTTGGGCCAGGTTGCCCTGACCAGCTTCCCCACTGATGGCAAGAACCTCTTCTTGTTTCAGCACATTTTTTTTAATTCAATACAACAGGTATCTTCTCAACCACAATTTCTAACAACCTGAACTCCCCTCCCCTTTTCAACTTTCCTATCAGTTAATATTCTTCCCTCACTCCAGAGCTCAAGGGTTCCCATTTTAGGACTGTCCCACAGGTCAGTTTCTTCCTTTAAGTAAGGTGGCCCTCCTGGTGTCCCTGACAGCGGCTTCCACAGCTGAGATGACAAGCACACTCCCAGTCGATTTACTTGGTAGAGATCTGTGGTCAGATTGTGGTCCCCTTCCTTTGGATCCTGTACCTCCAGATTTCAATTTGGCTGAACAGGCTTTTTCCTTGGCCAGCCGTCTACCTGCCCTTTCTCTAAATCTTCTCTCCCCAGAAAAGGGCCTTCCTTGAGGTTTAGTGTATACACTGAAGGGTTGCCTCCCCTTTGGGGAACATGAATCCAACTTCCCTACCAGTAAAGGAGTCTCTCTCGGTCCCACTCCCAACTGGCCAGTAAATCTCTTTTATTTTAAAAATTGATTGGTTGGTTGGTTGGTTGGTTGGTTGGTTGATTGGATGGTCGGTCGGTCGGTCGGTCGGTCGGTCGGTCGGTCGGTCGGTTGGTTGATTGATTGATTGATTGATTGATTGACTGACTGATTGATTGATTGATTGATTGATTGAATGGTCTCCTTCCTCTGCTCTCTTTCTCTCCTAGTCCTCTGCTTGTTCTTCTCCTCCTCCATGTCACTTGCTTTTCTCCCCCCTTCTTCTTCCTCCTTCCCTTTTATCTCTTTCTCCTCTTCTCTTGATACCTCCTTCTCCTTCTTTCCCATGCAGCCATTGGTCCCCCACCTCTTCCTTTTCTGCAGGAGCTCCAAATCCCACCTGTTGTAGTCTAGCTATCCCCAGAGTTATAGTTTGAGATCTCAGTCTCTGCAGTTTGCTTTTTTTTTGTTTTATGGTTCTTTCCCTTACTTGCCTCTCCAGAGCCTCAGCAGTATCCAGGCTAATATAGCTTTGTCCAAGTGCATGGCTGGATTCTCCAGTGTCTGACTCCTGTTGCAAGCCTATAAACTGGCAAGGGTAGACAGTGTCTGGCCTCCTCCCACATCTCCTCTTCTTCCAACCCTTGCCTTCCCTGTTCCGCCTTTATTTTCCTTGACCCCGTCTCCTCTAATGCTCTCTCATTAGGACACTGTCTCTTCTGCAGACTCCCTCCAGCTGGCCCAATCCTGAGGAAAGTCACCCTCCTCCTGGCTGGCTGCTACCTGTGTGCTGAGGCCAGATGGCTCAGTAGAAATGTGCACCTGCACCCCCTCACAGAGGCATAATATTAAATAGCTGCAGTCCTTTCTGGAAGACGTGTCAGGTGGTGGTGCTATGACAGTGTTGCTGTACCCTAAGCCCACTGGCATGCTGTAAGGTTCTATCTTGTTCCCCATGCTTTTTAAAACTACATGAAGCCACTGGGATAAAGTGGCCTTAATTATGAGCAGCTGGGATGGGGGACACAAAGGATAGGACCTTCTTCACAGACCCATCCACCCCCAGTATAAGTAACTATTGAAATTCATGTCCACCTGGATCAATGATTACTGGTTTTCAAATCTGCTCAAAAGACTTACCTACTGAGCCTTACATTTGCTATAATTGAGTTGGAAGTCTACTTGAGCCCTTGTGCATATGGTACTGCTACCTTTTACCATTAATTTTTATCATTTTTCTTATCACTATGTGTTGACCCTAAAAGGCAGCTTATAACTTGAAAGAAAGAACAGATAATTGGCTAGAGTTGGGGAAAGGTAGGGCTTGGAGTTTTCTTTCAAAAAAAGTTAATTGTGATTCAGATAGGATTTGTGATTTGCTATGGCATAAAGGCTCTTTTAAAATTATTACTGTAGTTCTTCATTTAGTTAAAATACCATATATGTGCACAAAAACAAAAGTACTGAGGTGCCTTTAAAACTAACCAATTTATTTCACTGTGAGCTTTTGTGGATTATGATCCACTTCTTCACAGTGTGGTCTCTGTTGGAAAATTTGATTCTAATATCCATCTGGGTTTGATGCACTTGCTCTGAAGCAAAGCCAGTTATGTTAGAGCTCAACAGACTGACATTAAAAAGACTCCACTGATATGCCCAAGAGGTATGCTTTGTATATATATAACACCTCACATGATCTCACTTCTTGACTCAGTCTTTCATCTGAACTGTCTCCAATGAAGAGTGATGTGTCTGAGCCAGGGTTGAAATATACAAACATTCTACCTCTGATGGTTTGTCTATTATGATTTGTTCACATATGCAAGTTATCACATTCGGTGGCTGAACATGCATCAGTGACCTGGTCAATAAAAAGGCCAAGCTGTAAGTCCAGGAACAACCCAGATCTCTAAATATCTCAGGTGTTTTTCAAAGCACCCTGGTAGAATCTAAAGGTACAGATTAAACTGAGTAGCTCTGAGTGGCTTGATTCAGACATGCAAGCAGCTCACTTGACAGCCACTCCACATTTGATTACTGTACACCTGCTAGCTACAGGGGAATATTTTCAAAGGGCTCCATTATCTGTTGATGCTGCAGTCATCATTATAGCTTGTGTCTGTTATCACTCATGGCCCTGTACAATTATGTGGAACTCTCTAACTGGGCTCCTAAATTTCAGATTTCTACACCTTTCATAAACTTTCCTCCAGGATTATGGAAAGTAAGCAGGGCAGACAAGGCTGTAACTAGGGAGGAGCAACTGGGGCTTTTGCTCTGAGCACCAAAACTTTGCAGCGAAATTTAGAGGCCAACCCAGTGGGTGAGTAGAACATGAGTGCAAGACCTCTCGCCCCCATTGCTTTCCTTTAAAAAAGAACAGACATAACCATTCTCTTTCCTTTGAGGGACGCAACGTCCTCCTCCTTTATCAAGCCTGTCTGGAATGTCAAAATGTCTAGTTACAGCTTTAATAGCAGGGAAGGGCAGCAACCTGGTCTCTTGAGGCTGGAGTCTCCAGTTAAACTATACAGCAGAATTGGGGGGGGAAACGGAGATCTTCCTGCCTCAGACTTCGGAGAGTCTCCCTGGAACTTCCAGGAGGGGCCTTCCATGACCAGGCCGCAGCCCTTCTTACGACGCCAGGGATGTATTCCTTTACTAGAAAACACGACTTTTACTAGTTAGCGGTCAGAAGGGTTTGATCGCAGAGGCTTTCAAGAGTTCTGGGTTTGCCACGTCTCCTGCTCGCTTGTGTGCCCGCTCGCCTGTGGCTCCTCTCTCAAGCTCTTTCCTGGAGGCAAAGCTAGGGCGTCCCGCGCACCCTCTCCTTCCGTCAGGTTTCTGCGAGGCTGGGGCTTGAACTCGATTGCTCGGGAGTCACTCGCCGGGCCCAGCCTGACTGCCGCCCGGAGAGCCTGTAAAGACCTGGCGGGGCCGCCTTCACCCTCCCGCTTCACCGGGTCGGGAGCGCCCGGGGGAGGCCTCGAAAAGGCCCGTCCAGGGCGCGGGGCGCTCTTTTCAGAGGGCCTTCATTGGTATTCCTTTTTTTTTTCCCGAGTTGGCTTTTGCCGGAGTGATTTCTTTCTTTCTGATTTTTAACTCTCAGTGTCAGACTCGCTGGATTGTGAAATGGAAGCGCCGCTCGCTTCGGCTTACTTTGAAAATCCCCAATTATTGGCCTATTGTTATGCGCTTTGACTTAATATGCCGGCCTCGTTAGCATGGGGGTCACGTACTGGAAAAAAAACCCTCGCTCCTTCCTCCCCGCCCTCGCTCCCTGCCTGTCAGCGTGGCGCCCTGGTTGGGATGACGAGGCCTAGGCCGAGGGGGGGGGCAGCCAGGCTCAAGCCCTCCCGCCGCTGAGGGCAGGAGACCAGGCCAGGGCTCATTCGAAGAAAGGGCGAGGCGAGCTCGGAGGGGCCGCCTCAGCCAAGGTCCAGCTCGACAGGGCCACGCTCCGACGGGTTCCGGGCCTTTGGAGACCCAAGACCGGGGGGGGGGGGGTCGGGGGCCGCGGGCGC